CTGAGCTCCATTGACAAGTGCCAGAGGCACACCCCTCTACCAGGGAGCCTCCCCCCTGAAGCACTCAGCACTCTTGCTGTGGCTCAGCCCCCATTCTGTCTCACACTGCTCTCCGGCTGCTCCCCTCACCATTCCTCTGAAACGGTTTCTGGATGTCTGCCCCGCCCTCCGTGTTACAGCTCCCCTCTCTCACTTCTGAGTTCTCACGGGAATTACCTTTAACATGCATATTTCTACCAATGGCTTTGTAAGGCAGTTTAAGCTAAGAGTCTACACATAAATCTTTTTGAACTTACATAAGAAAAATTTCTTGAGTACTTAGCATAGCCTGAATGTCTTAAGGCAGCAATTAAATATTTTAATTTAAAAATTTTTGTTAAAGCAGCAATTAAAAGAGCCCAGATTAAAGCAAAATGTCCAAAATGGAATCTGAGGACTGTTCCCTGTAGAATTTGTTTTCCTAAATACTTGAGTACTTTTCATAACAAATTGATGGGGAGAGGGGGAATACTTGTAATGATGGCCTGAAACTTTGATTTCTTTGGAACCATCATCAAAACATTCCTAGTGAGACACATGCAAAGCCATGTTTGAAAAGACACTACAAATAAGTTTATCAGTTATGACAATAAAAATAAAGTCTTACTGACACTGAATAACTCAAAGGAAAAACAAACAAAAAAATCTCTCATAATCTCACTTACTTAGTTGTCAAAAAGTTCAGTATTGTACTATGTGTCGATGATGGTTCAGGTTGTGTGTCCACTCGGCTGAGCTGTGATGTTCCTGTCCGGCAGCTGCGTGCTGATGCAATCACCCCCGTGATCTCATCTGATGTGAGGGGATTAGGGTAGGATGCAACAACTTCGATCTGTCACAGACCTGACATGCTGTAAAAGGAGCCTCCTCAGGAGGGAGGGTCACATGGACTTCCTGGCAAAGCTCGGGCTTTTGCTCGCTCTGGATCCTGCATTCAGCTCTCCCCATCCAAACCCATGCTTGAAACTTGAGCCAGCAATCTGCCATATTACCTACCAACCTGGAATTCATAGCAACCCGCAGCCATGCGCCAACAGCCTGCTCTCTGACCTAATGATCTTGGGTTCCTCAGGCTCTGCAGTCAGTCCCTGAGTCAGGAGAAGCCCCAGCTTAAAGTCTCTCTCACCCAGACTTGAGACTTGCCAGTCTACCATGTGAATCATTTCCTTAAGTCTCTATCTGCTAGGCTTCAAAAAGTTTGGGGGGGGTAATACAATTAAAAGACAGTGAAATTTTTACATGAATTTTTGAAACCCCTCTCATATAAACCACTCATTTTGCTTCTTCTGGGTTTTTGGTATTATCTATTGTTATATTTATTAATCTTATATATGTTTTTAAATGTATCTAATATGTCCAGTGGCTGCACTGTATTCCATGATGTAAGTTAAAGGAACACAGCATACATACTAAGCCTAATTACTCAACAAAACCCGGGAACTTTTTAAATGCAGATTCGGAGCCTCATCTGCTATCTAAGAATCTCTGGAGATGATGCTGGTGAAGTATACTGGAAGAACTGTGGGCTGCCAAAAGAACAAAGAAATCTGTCTTGGAAGAAGTACGGCCAAGATGGTAAGACTGCATTTCAAGTACTTTGGACATGTTGTCAGGAGAGACCAGTGCTCAGAGAAAGATACTGTGCTTGGTAACACAGACTGACAGTTAAAACGAGGAAGGCCCTTGACAAGGTGGACTGCACAGTGGCTGCAACAACGGGTTCAAATATAGGAACAATTGTGGGCACAGTGCCTGTCTGGACAGTGCTTCCCTGTTGTACATGGGGTCGCTATGAGTCAGAACTGACTCATGGCACCTAACAAGAGATGATGTTATGGAATCTACCCTTGTGAGTGTAATGCAGTCATTTCAGTATCCTACCTAATTAATCAGCCAGGAGCCCTGGTGGTGTAGTGGTTCCTAGTTGGGCTGTGATCTGAAAAGTTCACAACCACCTGCCACTCCTTGGGAGAAAGATGGGGCTTTCTAATCCTGTAAAGAATTGCAGTCTAAAAGTGGATGCATAAGCAAATGTGGTGAAGAAAGCTGATGGTGCCCAGCTATCAAAAGATCTAATGTCTGGGATCTTAAAGGCTTGAAGATAAACAAGCAGCCATCTAGCTCAGAAGCAACAAAGCCCACATGGAAGAAGCACACCAGCCTGCGTGATCATGAGGTGTCGATGGAATCAGGTATCAAAGACCCAGAGCAAGAAAACATATCAATGTGAATGAGGAGGAGTGTGGAGTGGAGACCGAAAGTCCATCTGCAAACAATTGAACATCCCCTTACAGAAGGGTCACAAAGAAGAGATGAACCAACCAGTCAGGGTGGAGTGTAGCACCGATGAAACACACAACTTTCCCTAGTTCTTTAATGCTTCCTCCCCCTACTATCATGACCCCGCTTCTACCTTACAAAGCTGGCTAGACCAGAGCATGTACAGGGGTACAGATAAGAGCTGGAAACACATGGAATCCAGGACAGATAAACCCCTCAGGACCAATATTGAGAGTAGCCATACCTGAAGGGGAAGGGGAAGGTGGCGGGAGGAGGGGGAATAAAAAGGGGAACCAATCACAATGCTCTACATATAACCCCCTCCCAGGGGGATGGACAACAGAAAAGTGGGTAAAGGGAGACATCAGTCAGTGTAAGATATGAAAAAATAATAGTAATTTATAAATTATCAAGGGTTCATGAGGGAGGGGAGGGGAGGGAGAGGAAAAATGAGAAGCTGATACCAAGGGCTCAAGTAGAAAGAAAATGTTTTGAAAATGATGATGGCAAAAAATGTATGAATGTGCTTGATACAATGGATGGATGTATGGATTGTGATTTGTATGAGCCCCTGAAATAGTTTATTGTGCCAGCCTGGAGAACCCTGTCTAACACAGCCCCCAATAAATTTTTTTTTTTTAAAGTTTGTGAAACGCTGGAATGATAGGGGAAGCCCCAAATCCATTTGCAGACTCCTTGTGTAGATGGAGTATCAGGTGAATACCCACTAACCATAGTCTAGGCATGTGAATAGCCTCAGTATCAGACAAAGAGCTCTGTAAAGCTAGGCTGGAATGTAACATCTTGTCCTTAGATCTCCTTTTGACCCATTTTGAATTTAATCTGTTTTTAAAAATATTTTCTGCTTTCATTTTGACTGATGCTTTTGTTTTATTTGGTCATTGTTTTTTCTGTTTTGTTTTTTTTGTACAGGGAAGTCAGGATGAGTAGATCTACGAAGAAAGCAACTGGACTAATAATTACCTAAGACACAAAAGAGGAGGTTGAGGGAAATGAGGAGTCAAGGGCAATGATTATAAGAAGAACATATTCTAAAATTGATTGTGGTGATGATTGTATAACCCGTCTTAATATGACCGAACTATTGAAGTGTATTATGTTAATTTTATCTCAATACAAATTTTATTTTAAGATTAAAAAAAACAAAGTCACAGGGGCAGTTCTACCCTAGCCTATATGGTCGCTATGAATTGGCGGACTAGATGGTAGTGAGTGAGAAGTAATCATCAAATACTTCATTTATTTAATAAATGAAGATTTATTATCTATCCATCTTGATAGATATCAGGTTGTGTCTAGATATTTGCTGTTATAATATAAAGCACTAATGTATCCTTAGAGAATGCATATATATACATAATCACTTCCCAAGATAATAGCATGCTGTTTGAGGGTTTTATGCTGTTGTTGTTTGTATTTTTTAAGGAGTTGAAATTGATTCAATGGCAGTTGAGTTTGGGTTTTTGATCAAGGGAACTGTGCGTCGTCACCGCAGCTCCAGGACTCACCACACAACCCCACACAGAGAGGCCAGGAAACTGAGGAAGACTGCCAATCATCCCAGACCATGTGGGCTCCTTGGAAGTTAGACTCCTCCTAACCTTTGAGAAGCTCTCAAAGAGAGAGGACTGCCTTCTTCCAGATCTGCTCCATCGTAAAGGTCCTGCTCAGAGTTCCCCTAGGGCTGGAGCACTGAACTGACTTCAGCCTTCAGCTGTCTGCTGCTACTAAAGTTCATAGATGTCTCATCCCCAAGAACAAATTCTCAAATGCAGTTCCACACACTGCTAACTATTTTCAGGTGTCTGCAAGTACAACGGTGTGGGTTTAAATGTGGTTTCCACTTTGGCCACAATTTATTTCTGGGGAGCAATGTTTCTCAAGCTATGCTTGTGGACATGTTCCCAAGGTTCCCTGAACATTTTTCTTGTCCCCCATAAAAGCAGATTACAGCACTCAGGGTTGAAAATCTCTGGCTTAGGATCCTAACACCACATTGCTTGTCTCTCCCACACAGCACCCAGCCCAGGCCAGCACTGGGCAAATGAAGCCGGGTTCTGCTGCACAGTGCTTCCCGGAGGTAGGCACGGAGACTTGCTGCCACACTTGGGCCCTTTCCCAGAACTGGAAGAATCCATGTTCTGCCCTTCACCTTACTGAAAGACGAATAATATTCTGGGTTTCCGGAAGGCTGTCAGAGACATACTAAGTGCGGCTCCATTCACAGTACAGTGAGGGCCAGGGATAGGAGGGCCTTTAGCAAGGTCACACAGTTAGCGGAAACAGAAGTGGCCCATTTCAAGGTCAGTCCCAGCCCACGAGGATGCTACCTCCGCTGGTCCACTGATTCGAACGCACGCAGGAAGGCCCGTCCCAGCGTCAGCATCCGCGTCCCATTTCGGCCCTCTCCGTCCCCGGTCGCCCGCGGGCACGCCCCGGCTGGGCCGAGCCCGTCACAGCCTTTCCACACGCCCCGACTGGCCCGGCCCTGCCCGCGCCGCGCGCCCTCGGCTGAAAGAAGGAGCGCAACGGCGGCCACGGCCCGCGCGCTCTCCCGCCCGGCCGCAGAAGCGGCGACGAGGCGCCAGCGCCACCGGGCGTCGGCGCGCGTCGGTGACGTCACGGGACGCGCCGACGATGCACGCCGAGCGTCGGCCCGAGCTGCCAGGCCGGAGCGTCTCGGTCTCTCGGCGACGGGTCCCTCCTCCGAAACTCGGCGAGGGAAGCTCTGCCAGCCGGCAGCTCCTGAAGAACGTGCCGGGAAGGTAACGCGGGAGAGGCGGCTGGTGGACACGTCATCCCAGCGCACCGGAAGCGACCTGAGAATGAAGAGTAAGCGAGCTTCAGGGCCACAGTCTGGGAGAAGGGTGCGACTATGAAGGGTCGGGGACGTAGTGCTGGTGGGCGAGATGGATCTGGCTGCGTGTCAGTGTAAGGTCTGAGCAGGAATTTGCCACTATACCCACCAAACCAAACACCACATCCACTGTCATTGGGTAACTCATAGCGCCCCTGGGTTTCTGGGACTGTGACCCATCGGCGGAGGAGACAGCCTCAGCTTTCTCGCGAGGAGGGGTTAGTGGCTTCGAACTACTGACCTGTGATTAGCAGCCCAATGCCTAACTCACTACACCACTAGGGCTCCACTTTACATAAGAGAAACCAAATCCCAGAGTGCGGGCTTGATGCCTGGGTTGCAGTGAAGCGCCCCTGGTGGGTTACTCTGTAGGTGTGATGCCGAAGCAGAGCCCACGTCACTGGACAGACTTAGGCACTACTACCCTGGCTGACCATAATCAAGGACTTGCTCCGCTGTGACCCAGTTTCCCCTCTGTAAAGTACTGATGGCAGAGTGGCTTAGATATTGCGTGTTCCCCCACAAGGTCAGCAGCTGGAAACCACAGGAGAAAGACCGGCGTTTACGCTCGGAAAGAGTTACCATCTAGGAAACTCACAGGGGCAGTTCTGCCTTGTCCTATAGGGTCTCGATGGCTGGAAGCCACCAATGGCATTGAGCGTGAGGAAGGTACTGATGATGACCCTCTCGGTGTAAAGCTCAGAGAGCATCCCAAGGTGTTGGGAGACCTGCAGAGTAAAGATGTGCTCAAGATTTTGAGATCCAGTTCTCTCACTCCTACTTCTTTGCACAGGTTAACGATAAGCTGTGATTTTTGTCAAGTGCATTATAGCATAATCATTACCTTAAAGGATACTTTTGAAGATGAGTGAAGTCGTTTTGACTAGCTGCTGGCAAGTAATGAGTGCTCAATAACTGTTGTATAGAACTGCAGAAGAGACTGTCAAGCCTTCTGTTTACCCTGTGACAAGTGAAAACAGTGATTCCTGGGGTCCCAGCTTCTACAGGCAAGTTGTAATCCCCACCTTCCATTTGAGAGGGCATGGAAAAGGGATATCATTGCTGATGTCAGATGGATCTTGACTGAAGGCAGAGAATACCAGAAAGATGTTTACTTGTGTTTTGACCATGATAACATATTCAGCTGTATGGATCATAAACTATGGATAGGCTTGAGAAGAACTGGAATTCCAGAACGCTTCATTGTGCTCATGCAGAACTTACACCTGGTCTAGAGGCACTCATATAAACAGAACAAGGGGATGCTGCATGGTTTAAAGTGTGTGTGTCAGGGTTATATCCTCACACCATACTTATTCAGTCTATATGCTGACCAAGTCATCAGAGAAGCTGGCTTATATGAAGAAGAATGTAGCATCAGGGTTGAAGGAAACTTTATTAACAACCTTTCATATGCACATAATAAAACTTTGCTTGCTAAAAGTGGAACTTGAAGCACTTGCTGATGAAGGTCAACGACTTCAGCCTTTAGTATGGATTACAACTCAGTGTGAAGACGACCAAAATCCCCCAGCTGGACCAATGGGTAAATCATGATAAATGGAGAAAGGGATAAAGTTGTGAAGGATTTTGCCATGTTTGGATCCACAATCAATGCTCATGGAAGCAGCCATCAAGGGATCAGATGCCACATTGTATTGGGTAAATCTGTTGCACAAGATACCATTAACATGTTGAAAAGCAAGCAGGTTTCTTTGAGAACTAAGGTGCATCTGACCCAAGCCATGGTATTTCCAACCACCTCCAATGCAGGTGAAAGTTGGACGTTGAATAAGGACGAGTAGAGAAGAATTGGTGCATTTGAAGTAAGGTGCCAGTGAAGAGTATTGAAAGTTCCGGGAGGCCAAAAGAACAACCAATCTGCCTTAGAGAAAGTACAGCTAGAATGCTCCTTAGAGTCAAGGATGGCGAGACTTCATCTCACGTACTTTGGACACGTCGTCAGGACAGACTACCATAGTTCCTGGAGACGGGCATCATGTTTGGTAAAGGAGGGACAGTGAGAAAGAGGAAGGCTCTCAACAAGATGAGCTGACACAGTGGCTGCAACAATGGGCTCAGACATAAGAACAGTTGTGAGGTTAGTGCAGGATCCGGCAGTGTTTCCTTCAGTGTACATAGGGTCGCTGTGAGTTGTAACCAACTTGATGGCACCTAACAACATATCCTTCCATTTGAGGGAGAATTAGACCCTCAAATGGTTGGCTTGTTCAACCATAAACTTTTAAAAACTCACTATCATTGACTCAGTTCTGGCTCACAGCAACCCAGTAGGGCAGGGTAGAGCTGCCCCTGTGGATGGTAACTCTTTACAGAACTAGAAAGCCTTCTCTCTCCCTCCCCTTTGGAGGAGCTGACCTGGAGGAAGGCAGCCCAATGCATAGCCACTATGCCACCAGGACGCCAAACGTAAACTAGGGATGAGCCAAGGCACTGGAACGAATAGCGTGTTGTGGGCTCTGCACTGAGCTGCTGACCATGAGGTCCCTGGTTGAGGCTGTCTACTCCAGTAAAGATTTAAAGTATCAGAAACACCCCAAAGGGCAAATCTCCCCTGCCCTAGAGGGTTGCTATGAGCCGGATCGACTCGATAGCAATGGTTTTGATTTCTGGTTTTGAGGGCAGACCCATGTTTCTAATCATTTGACCTTCACAACAGACTTCCGTCTCATTCTTATTGCATTCACATCATATTCTGCCCAAAAGCCACCATTTTCTACTTCAGACAAATTAAGTCAGAAGCAGGAGTGTAGTTGTTTTTAGAGGTTAAAACCACATTAATATTTACTTTGAATTGGAAGAACTGTTTGAAGACTGTCTGGCATCGTTGCTGGGGCACCATCTATTTAATATGATCCATTTCAGTTTCCTGGAAGTTAAAATGGGGCAAAGTTTTTCATTTTGTAAAGTCATTTCAACTCCATCTAGACTGTTGGCCTCCTTCTCTGGTGTGCCAGAGTGCAGTTTGGTTAATTAGGTGCTTTTTTTCTAAACAAATAATAACCATTTCCGTATATGAGAGTAAACCATAATATATGAAATTGGACAAAGGAATCTATAGTTTACTAAGATCCTACAGATTCCCACACACAGTCAGGTTTTAGAAGCACCGTTTTAAATCACAGCCTTAACACTTCTCGGTTAGGCGTGGCAAGGGCGGGAGATGAGACATCTGAGAAAGCTTTGTGCTCAGCTCCTCTGTGACACCACTCCTGCCTTCCCCAACTAAGCTAGTTCTTTTCAATGGCCATACCCCACAGGAACTGATTGTTTGTTTTACTCCCCCAGGTGTGATCTACAGTGCCCTTGCTCAGAAAGAGGCAAAAGAGCTCGATGTTCAGGTATGTGCTTGGCAGGCAGTCTAGGAGCACTCCAGGGGGTGGTAAAAATGCCTCCCTTGCTGTGAAGCCTCTAATGCTGGCTCAGACCTTCTTCCCCGCGGTGCTCCTGGTCTTCCTAGTAGGCAGACCGCTCTATCAGCATCTGTTGTATCCGTATGCTGGCCTCCCCTCCGCTCTGCCAAAGTAAAATTTGGTTAACTGGGACCTCTCCTTTTTTCTTTAATGAACTTGATAAATGATACGAAATTTTCTATATGAGGGTAAGTCAACAACTTTTCCTATAAACTCAGGCATCTTTATTAAACAAAAATATCAAAACATGAAGCTATTCGTTCTCGACACATCCTCCACTGAGGGCTTTAAACCTGAAGGCAGGTGTCCATGTCTCTAGCCCAAAGAATTCTCTCTGCTCTGATTTACGCATGTCAGAATGGGAATTTGGGCACCTTCAAGGGACACAAATTGTGTCCTTTTGAAATGTTCTCTGAATGCAGTTACTAAAAGAAATCCGAGTAGGTGAGGTCAGGGCTGTAGGGTGGATGGAGGGGGTAAGGCTTCCCAATAAAGCTCATGTAGCACAGGCCCTGGTTCCCTGGGGGGATGAGCAGGCACATTGCCACGATGGAAAAGGTGTCAGCGCAACTTTCCTGGCCTTTTTCTCCACGGTGCGGTTTCCCATGGTCCTAAAACTATTTCTAGGAAGCTCCCATGATGGTTCAGCGCCCTTCAAGGAGAGCTGTCAAGATGACTCCCTCAGGATTAAAGAAAAATCTGCCCCCATAACCTTCTGAGCTGCCCTCACCTCTCTGCCATGAAGTTAACTGGCGACACCAGATCTAGAAGTCACTCTTGATTAGTCCTTTCTTATTCGAAGGCACCCTAGTGAGACCAAGATAGGTGTATTATTGAGAACTGCTCTGCAGCCACGCATTGATCACAGAGATACGTGTAACCTGTGTTCTGTGGAACATGCCAGTGTGTGCATGAACTAGACTGGAGTTTTGATTTACCTTCATATATTACTCGTGAACATTTCTCCAATCACACATTCTAATACAATTTTCCACAGTTATGACTACAACAAATTAAATTTTCCTAATATCTCAACATTATTTAACAAATCTTTTACTACAAATATATAGTTATTTAATTTAAATTTTAAAGGTACAACTCAAGTATGTCCAGGTCTCTCTAATATCTTCTTTGCCCTGCAATGGAGGCTTACCAGGGTTGCCCACCTCTGGGACTCTCTCCCCTCTTGGTCCTGGCCTCGCCACCACTCTGCACTCATGGGCTGAGTGCACTCAATCTCCACGGTGAGATTGTCTAATGATTTTTTTTTCACTTCCTTGCTGTGATTTGGGTGGAAAATTTATAGAGAAAATCACTTTTCATTCAACAACTCATATAGTTTGTTTTCGACATGGATTGCAACCCCCACAATGTAACAGCGCCCTTCCCACTTCCTCCCTATTTCTCCCTTCATTTATCCCCCTTTCCTTCCCTGCTCACCTTCTCAGCTGGGCTCGTGGGCAGCTTTCCTGTGGCCAGTCGTTGTAAGGACACAGACCTCCATGGGGTGATTGTTCACCTGGTCTTTCAATTAGCTAGGGTGTGCTACAGGGTGATTTCAGTTCCAGGCTTGGAGGGTGTCTAAGGCCCAGAGTCTTGGGGCTCCACCTGTCTCTTGGAGACCATTAAAGCTGGACTTAGTATGATGTTGAGGGTTTTTCCAACTTTTTCCCTCTAGGCCCAGGTTCTCTTTTCGTAGCCCTGTCAAAGGTCAACTGGGGTAGCCTGGCACCGTCTACTTCTTCGGGTCTCAAGGTCACAAAGGCTAAGGTGCATGTGGTCTGTTAGTCTTTTCAATGAATTGTTTCCTTATTGCTTTGGTTTTCTTCACTCTTGGCTCTGGATACCTCTGGTTGGACCTGCTAGTGTTTATCATTTTGAAATTTGTTCCACTTTTTCTGCTACTCTCCAGAACTTTCTCTTGTGATCCCAACCAGAGTGATCAGGAGTAGTAACCAGGTACCACCTCGTTCTTGTGGTCTTAGGGCCAGGGCTTGCAGGGTCCACTAGTCCATCGGACTGATTGTTTCCATGCAACTTCAGTTTTCTGCATCTTCTTTGTTCCAGATAGAGGGAGACTAATAACCGCATCTTAGATAGCTGACCTCTAACTCTCTATTCACCAAAGTTGCTGTTCACCAAAATAGGATGTAGAACTTTCTTTGTGAACTGTTAATGCCTATTGACCCTGGTGTCCCCCTGGTGGCTCAGGCCCAGTGACTCGTCCCCTCAACATGTCTGGTTATGGCTAAGGACTTTGCATAGCTCTCCCCCCTGTATGCTTTACTGTATGCCTGCATACCTTTGTGGCACATATAAATACACATGTCAGACATATATCTATCCGTGGGTATAATCCCTTTGCCTTCCTGTCCCTGCCTATCTGTATATCCACTTGTAGATTATTGTTAGTACTGACATTGCATGAATAAGCACGGAGTAGTGTGAGGGGTCTTCAAAGAATTCATGGGAAAATAGGGAGGTTTACCGAGCAGATCATCAGTCTTGCACTCATCCATTCACCTTCTGTCTCAACTCATCCGTTGCCCCACACTGCCGTCGCTGACTCCAATTCTCCTGTGTTTCTTGTTTCCATGGCTCCCCCTTTCCTGACCCGCTGAACCTGGTCCTGGCTAAGTGCTGCCCTTTTGATCTGAAATATGTCGTCAGTTCCAGACCTGAAGGGTGACTAAGAGCCATAGTCTTGGGGTCCCACCTGTCTATCCAAACAATCGGCTTCCCATTGATCCTTGCATTCCCTGTTCCTGGAACATTCTGAAGCCCCTGATATTTGTTATGGTTGCCATGGTTGCCTTTAGCTCTGTGGGAACAGCATGGTGTTCTGTCAACTCCCACCATACCCCCCTGGTGGGCACGATCTTTGACCCTGCCACGGTGCCCTTCCTAGGCAGTGTGTCAGTCTGGGTAGAGTAGAGAAGCAAATCCATGGACACACATATGTGTATAAGAAAGAGATTTATATACAAGAGCAAATGAACATTGAGAAAACACCCCAGCCCAGTCCAGATCAAGTCCATAAGTCCAATATTAGCCCATGTTTCCGATATCAATCATAAACTCTTCAGACTCATGAAACACATGCAATGACGCTGAATGCAGAAGATCACAGGCCAGTGGGTAGAAAGTCTTTGGATCCACTGTCATTGGAAACATCTCAGCTCTGGCAGGGGTTTCTCTGTGGCTTCTCCGGCTTCCAAGGACTGGTTGCGTCCATGTGGCTTGTCTTCTGCAATGTCTCCCAGGGAGTAGCAGAAAAAGAGGTGTCTTCCATCTCCAAGAAGGAAGTACCAGATTTCCCAGAATTCAAGGCCATGCCCACACAGAAGTCTCATTGGCTATCTCCAGATTGACAGCCTAGACTCCACTCCTATACTCTTAATCCTTAAATTGACACCAGATTAGGTGACTACCACAGGCAGGCAAATCACATTTGACCCTGCAGTTGAAGTGGATGTTTCCAACGTGCTTGATCAATCTGGCAAACACTACCCAGGCCTCATAGAGAGTGGGTTTCCTGGAAGACACACTGTGGAAGCAGAGAGGTCTTGCTGTCTTCTCTAGGAAAGAAGGGGTGTGGGTATTTGTAAATCAGGGCACAGGCCTTCCTCGTCGCGGTCAGTGGGCCTGTGGGCGCCACGCGGAAGCAGCCCGGTGCCTGCCACCGGGAAGAATGCTGTGCAGTCCATTGAACCTTCGCCCCTCTCCCTTGCAAATGCAGGACTTGGCAGCTATTGAGTGCCTTACGGTGTTCACAGCCAGTTAGACGGTTAGACGACTAAGGGGCCGACAGCCCCAAGTGTCCACAGTAGAACCCCCTCTGGAGGCTGTTGAAGCTGGCCTTCCAGAAGCATGTCCCATGAGTGGGTTCATGCTGCCAGCCTGCCCGTTGGTGGTCGGACAGCTCACTGTGCTGCCTGAGCCAGAAGCAGCAGGCTCCCACAGGGATTGCAGACAAGACCGGGCCAAGGCCAAACTCAGAGGTCGGGTGCTTAGGGTACCATCCTTTTAAGGGTCTATGGCAACCAGCCACTGCGTTTTGCCGTGTGTGGAAGTGAGTGCGAGTAGGCCAGGTGCTGTGCTTGGCAGTGCCTTGCCTTCCCAGGCCTGAGATGGCACAGATCTGCAGCCATGCCCAAGGGAGCTTCATCTGGGTGTGGCCCTGTCGGAGCCCCGCCCCAACCCCCAGCTGGGCTCTTATCTCTTGTGTTCTGCTCACTGCCCTCCTGCAGCCCCTCCTGGCCCTGACTGAGCAGATCGCTCTTCGACAGTTCTCATGTTTCCCTACCAAATGGCAAACGGTTCCTCCTCCGCCAGTAACCCAGAGCACTAAGGGGTTGAGATTTGATGTTTGGGGCTTCCTGGCACACCCAGCCCCAAGCTGGCGCCCACCTTCCACGTCCTGGCAGTGGTGAGCAGCAAGCTCTGGGCAGTGGGCTCAATGCCCTCCAGTAGGGCATTCACATCCGCAGCCTTGGGGTCCTGGGCTGTGGGACCAGAGCAGTCGCACCACCTCTCCTGCAGCCGGCGGGGTCCGCCCGATCCGAGGCCTTCGTGAAAGCCTTCTTGAGGCGCAGCCTGCCCCGCATGAGCCAGCCAGCCCTGGAGGACCAGCTGCAGCGCAAGGCGGTCGTGCTGGAGTACTTCACGCGGCGGAAGCGCAGGGAGAAGAAAAAGAAATGCAAAGGCCTCTCTGCCCGGCAAAGGAGGGAGCTGCGGCTCTTCGACATCAAGCCAGAACAGCAGAGGTGAGCCAAGCCCACCCTGGCCCCCATGCGCCTGGCCCAGGGCTGGCTGGGCCTCACCTCCTCCCCACCCACCCACCCAACAGGGGACTTTGGAAACCAGGAACAGTGTGGGTTACAAGTTGGGTTGCCAACCACAAAGTTAGCAGTTCAAAGCCACCAGCCATTCCTTGGGAGAAAGATAAGGCTGTCTGCTCCTGCAAAAAGTTATTATTTGAAAGTCCCTAGGGAGCAGCCCTCCTCTGTCCTGTAGGCCCGCAGAGCCAGCTTCGCCTCACTGGCTTGGAGCTCCTGAAACTAAGGGTGCGTCTCCCTCGTCTGCCACAGGGGGGCAGCCTTCCTTTACCAATTTGAGCTGTGCTTGGGTTTGGCTTTCCCTAGCAAGACTTGGTGAGATGGGCACTTTAATTGTTTGGCATCGGTCCTAGCCTTAATAAGATCAGTGCTGTAAGTGAGACTGTTGCCTATGGCAACTGGCTGTTTGTCTGTCGCTTTTCGTAGACAGGAAAGAGGAACTGATACTTCCCAATATATACCTCCCTGGAGCTTTGAATAGCACTAAAGAGAAGCACCCACTGGGCCTGTTTTTCAAAAAAAGATGCTGCCCACGCGCTCCAGCAGTCTCTGAAAGGGCTATACCACGTCCCGTGGGCGGTGTGTTCTTCCCGGCTGACACACCGTTCCCGCTGGCCTCTATTCTGCTGTCTCAGGACTTTCCGTGGGCTTCCGCTCAGGAGCAGGGGCAGAGGCAGTCAGGGCGGCACATCCTCGGTGGCCCCTCAGGCAGTCGGCCGGCCTGGCCTGGGGGTCCGCCTAGGTGGAACCAACTGCTTCATGGAAGCGCCGCGGAGTGACCAGGGCACCTGAGAGTGACACAGGAAATCCTGTGGGGTCCCTGCCAGGCTCCATTCACCTTCCATGGCACCCCAGACAGCCGCAGCTTGTCCCATGAGGACTTACTAAATTCAGGTTCACCTAACAAAACTTCACTAACAGTGACCAATTGAAGTCTGCCTCGAGGAGAGAAGTCGGGGTGAACGCACGGAGGCACCTGGCCTTCATCACCCCACCAGCAGAAAGGCGCCGGGGAGGGCACTGAGAGTGGGCAGTGAGGTAGCCACCGTAGAACCAGGACTGGCGGGGGCTTCTTCAAGGTCCCTGTCTGGTTCTCGGTTGGCACTGAGCCAACGGCTGGGCTCTAGGGAGCACCCTTTGGCCTCCTCCTGCCTGACTTCTCACTGTCTCTAACTTTACCACAGGTACAGCCTTTTCCTCCCTCTCCATGACCTCTGGAAGCAGTACATCCGAGACCTGTGCAACGGTCTCAAGCCAGACACGTGAGTTGAATTGTTGGAGGTGGCACGTTGGGGCAGAGCCCATGTCGGATGTTCTCTGTTGTGAATGCCGTAAGAGGTGCCTGCCTAGCTTGAGATGCCTGTAGAGCTGTGTGCTTCTCTCAGGACTGCCCGGGGATAATGTGAGGGGCCGTTTGCCTTGCAGGCAGCCACAGATGATCCAGGCCAAGCTGTTGAAGGCAGATCTTCATGGTGCGATGATTTCAGGTACCTTGCTAAGACCATGTGGTCATCCAGCCGTCAGTCACCAGGGTCCCTGTGGTAGAGAACCAGGCACACAGACCCCACACCCTTCATCACTGCTTGAGAAACCCCCATTCCACTGAGGGTCACAGGGGGTGGAGAGGAGTTGGGCTACTGGGTCCCTCGGCACCTTCTCCACACAGGGACCCCTGCCAGTGTCCCAAAGGGCAGAGCAGCCATTCGCCTGGGTCTTGAGCAGCCCTGCCTGGGGCTCAGAAAGCAGCCTGGCAGTTGATTCCAGGCTGACGTCTGCAGGCAGACCCCTCCCCAGAGCTCCAGACCTGGGTGTGAGCTCCCAGGTGTCCCCTGATGCCGCCCCTCATCCTGACCTCCCATCTCAGGCAGTCAGCAGTGTGACACTGGTGGTGGTGCTGCTGCTGCCAGTGCTGGCAAGGTGGCTCCACGTCTCAGAGGCCCGTCACAACAGGAGGCACACCTGGCCCTGCACCCTCCTCACGGGCACGACTATGTCTGAGCCAGTGTTGCAACACCTGTGCCATCGTGTCTGGTTACGGGGCTTCCTCCGGACCACCAACACAGCATTCCTTCTCCTGAGACCACGGCCGGAGTCCAGGAGACCTAAGGAGCTTCTGACTTCCTTCCTTCAAGACAGTGTACCTGTTGGCTTGGACATTTTCACTCCTGACCCTCACTTCCAGGCCCTGTACCTGAATCTAAGCCCTTTCAGAGCTCCTCATGCACCCCAAGCCCCTGAGTGATGGGGAGGAGGGTTTCAGGACAGACAGCAGATCATGTTCCATCCTGGCTTCAAACCTCCCAAAGGCACCCATGCTACAGTGGCCTGCCTCCACCAAGCTCCCCAGGCCTCTGGGCATTCCTCGGCTCCCCTCTGGCCACCCTGACCGGCCTTGGGGCCTTGGCATGGTCATGGCCCCTCCCTGACCGGCCCCTTTCCTTTGCAGTCACAAAATCCAAGTGTCCCTCTTACGTGGGAGTGACAGGGATCCTGCTACAGGAAACAAAGCACGTCTTCAAGATTATCTCCAAAGACGACCGCCTGCGAGGTACAGAGCCACCTTCCAGGCGCTCCATCACCCTTGGCGTCATGTACGCAGCCGCTCCGTCCAACTGTGATGTCAGGCTCGAGGAGCCCACCTGCTGGCCCAGTCGTTCTCCCTGAGGCAGTTGTGGGCACAGGCATTGGGTGGGGGTGGGGGGGGGCAGGAAACGCAAGAGACCAAGGTTAAGACCCTCTACCTGCCAAAGGGGGTCCCTGGGTGGTGGCAGATGGTTAAGTGCTCAACTACGAGTGAAAATGTTGGCAATTCAAGCCCAGCCAGATGCACCTGGGGAGACAGGCTGGCTAGGTGCTGCCGGGGAGGAGTGCTCCTCGGCACACATGGGGCCTGAGTCAAAGGCAGCTAGCAAGCTGCCCTGCCCCGGAATGCAGCCACCCGGGTCAGAGGGTACCCGGAGTCCCAGTCCTAGCAGCCAGCCAGGGGGACTTCCACGCCCTGCCTCGCTTGCCTGCACACCAGACTCCAGCACCAGTTGCAGGAGGCTGTCACCTGTGAGCTTGGTTTTACTCAGTTTCCCCCTCTGTTTCTAGCATTTCCTGCCGCACTTGTGTTTAACCTCCAAAGGTGGGCTCCCGGTTCCCCACTGAGCATAAAGCCAAGAGTCCATCTGGAAATGGTCAGGAACAGATTTTCTGGGAGTTTGTGGTTGTGAGAGTTTGGTTTATTATATATAACCTCTGGCCCTAAAAATTAGGTGGTGGTATATTTAAAGGAACATAAATGGAATTGGCCATCTAGTGGAACGAACTCTGATCCTGGGGCTGCCGCCTTTCTGCTTTCCCCACTTGCTGGAAACTTGTTCCAGTCCTGATGCAGGCCTTGTATGACTAACTTTCTGCATGCAGTGAACCGACGGCCAGTGTTTTTCCTGCTTCTCCCCCAGTTATCCCCAAGCTCAACTCTGTGTTCACCGTGGAGATCGATGGCTTCGTGTCCTACATTTACGGGAGCAAGTTCCAGCTTCGGGCAAGTGAACGGTCTGCGAAGAAATTTAAAGCCAAGGGGACCATTGACCTCTGAACTCTTAAGATTTCCAACAGCCAGAAGTGGGTGACAGCTGGAACGTCCCGCTCTTTGGAGAGGACCACCCATTTGCAAAGAATCCTTATGTTTCTGACCTGTGCGAGGGGTGTTCACGGTCGTGTGTGTTCTTGAGCATGGCCTATAGAGAGGAAAAGAGAGAAAATACACAGGCTGTCTTCAACAGTGGTGTCACTAGATTTTTATTTTAATGTTGACTGCTTCCTGCTCCATCACTTGTGTTTACAATAAACACACACTCACACACACACACACACACACAGGTATAAGATGCTCCGACTGCAGGATCCCTGCAGAAGGGCAAGCAGGAGGACCCATGGCACCATACAGAGTTGCCCTTTCGAAACTCCTCCTGCGCCAGCCTCTGACTCTTTAAATGGCCGAGGAAGGGCGAACGGTCAGGGGACGGCTGACTAGGACTCAGAACTGGCACGGACCGGGCTAGTTGCACTTGTTCCCAGTGGCTCCACTCCGGGCAGTGGCACTGAGAGGACGGGGTGGCGAGGGAGCTCTCCCCAAGGCCTAGCCATCTGGACGCCCACGTCCTGGGCAGTGCAGCTCACATCACAGCCCCATTGGTGCTGCCGAAGGGCTTCATCTAGTCCCGTGTGCATGAGGCCCTTCCACACAGGCCGCCTGGGGGCAGGCCAGGCTGGGCTGGGTGAGAGCAGGAAGCGCTGCGGACTGTGGTGCGCTCACTCGGGAGTTGGGCCTTCCCAGGCCTGCTATCAGGAAGGCCACCTGGGGCATAGTGTGGCTCAGAAGGGCCTTAGCCCTGTCCCTTGCTGACTGACAAGGTGGGGACAGACGCTCTCCTGGTGACAATGGGACGCAGCTCCCGGGCCTTCTCCCTCCCACCCACAGGAGCAGCAGCGCCTCTCCCACTGAAGCCCCACGCGGGCACAGGAGCAGTGCATTCACTGGGACTGTGTCACAGGACAGCTGTGCCCTGCAAGGTCCCTGATGGCTGGTTTTGCAGAAGTAGACATCAGGCCCTTCTTTCACGGTGCCTCTGGGCAGACTTGAGCCTCTCACAGTTTGGTCGGCAGCCCATGGCCACTGAGGGGAAAGGACTGGCCCAGCCTCACACACTCCCTGAGGCTCCCGCTGGCTGCGTGTGGTGTCCACTGCTTGTCAGGGAATTTCTGGCAGCCTGGACACTGGAGGCCAGGCTCCACCCCGCACGGTGTGACCAAAGGCTGGTTATGTTGCATCCATTGTCCCCTGTGATGCAGAGCCCGCCCATGTGGGCTCCGCGGCCAGAAGGAGGCCTGCAGCCTCAGCATGCCTCGTCTGGGAGACCTGGCCATGGCCTGGCCTTCCTTGTTTGCCGTGGGAAGCAAGGTGGGCACCGCTCCCAAGTCTCCCCGCCTGCGGATGGCAGAGCTGGACGGAAGGCCGTGGGCCACCCAGAGCCTGTGCTTCAGGCTAAGCTCCCCCACCTCATGGACTGCCCTTGGTGTGGCCTGGCTCCCCCAGGGGCTCTCAGCATCTTCCGTGTGGGGTGGTCCCACCATCTGAGCGCCACCCAGGGAACGGCATAGGTGCTCTCACTTCCTCGGCCACACTGCGCCTGCCCGCCCCTCCTCAACGTCAGAGGCACCCAGTGTTGTGTAAATACACAGGCGCTTCCCAGAAAAGTTGTTGGTACCACTTGCCATGTGAAATCTGTTTTTCATTTGGCGCAGACTCAAGTTTCCATGTGAGTTGCTGCTAACGCTAATGCTCTCCCCCTCCCAAGGGGCCTTGGTGAGAAACTCACCTGACACGAAGCCCCTGCTGTGCCTGCTGGCAGGGTCTTGGGTCCTGTGCCCCAAGGGCTGTGCTGTCCCCCACAAGAGGGAAAGAAGGTGGGTCCATACCAGGCAGGGCACCAGCTTCCACTGACGCTGCGCCTGCAGCCACAGAGCCAGGCTGCACCCTGCAGCTAGCCAGGGCTGTGTGCTGTGCAGCCCAGTCTCTGCCTTCTCCGCGGTCAGAGAGCCCCTGGAGCACTTCATTGTTTGTGCCACCCAGGAGCTCCTCAGACCCGAGGGACTTCAACAGACTCGTGATGTCATCTGACATGACAGGCATTATACGTTGCATCTGCATTATGGGCAGTGATCCGATTGCTTTAGGTTACCTTAGATCAGATCAGATATCTTCCACAGAGATAGGGTTAGGATTCCAGCATATATTTTAGGAGGACACAGTGTAATCCTTACAGGGAATTGTCAGGGCAAGAGAAGCTCTAATCCCCAGGGAAGGATGTAGAATTCCACTGATCAAGGCCCAAAAGTTTTTCAGGACTCCACTGTCACCATCTACCAAGTCAGGACAGGGGACAAGTTTCTAAAATGGGTCCCTGGAGCTTCCGGGTCACAAGTATTAGGGTCCCTGAGCTGCAGCCCAGACCTCTGAGTTGGCCTTTAGGGATGGGGCCTAGAGCGGTCTACTCTGGGACCTTCACTGACAGGAGCGCAGGCCATGCTAGCTGAGGTCTCCCCGGCTCTGGCCTCCTGACTGGCTGCATGTGGGCATGCTCACGTCTGCGTTCTCCAGGTACAGAAAGACCACAGGATTGATCAACCCGGGTCTGAAGAGTAAACATGAACGTCCGCCAATGCCATAAATTATGATAAAAAGCTTTCTTTCTGGACAATGGCTTTGTTTTAATTTAGTTTGCATTTCTTCGCTATAGTGCCTAATTAAGACATCTGTTAAATGTCTATAATATTAATTTAATAGAGGGGGTTCTAATAGAGCTGTATTGGAATTGTCCATTTAATTAACCTCATGGGCCTTTAATGGATGTCTTAAATAGACATCATTAACAAGAGCGCGAGACAAATTAGAATTAGAGTCAATAACGTTCTTGGTAATTTTTCCTGAGCTGTGAAGGACGTGTGTGGCTAAGTAGACAAGCGCAAAGATGGCCTGCACAGAGGCAGTGTGGCAGCTGGAGTCCCTGAGGCATTCAACCTGGTCAGCTCAGACCAAGAAGACCCAAGCTCCAGCCATAGGGGCAGCACCCAGGCACCCAGACCAGCCCTTCCGGAGAGGTGGCCAGCCCCCCTTCCCTTTGATCAGCTCCTTGGTGAGGAGTGGGAAATGGGGGCCTTACACTCAGACTCTCACTAAATAAGTGCCCAGGTCACGTGAGGTGGAATGGGACAGCAGGCGGGGTGGGGGTGGGTGGGTGGGGGGATTGCTTAGGATGGGTGGAATGAAGAGGGTTCTCCACTGACCACCTCTTGCTCAGATGAACATCCTTCTAAAGTCTCCTCTCCCTCCACTACATCTGCCCTCATGAGCCTCTGGTGGGGTTGAGCACTCCCCAACTCCCTCTCGCCAGCTTTCCTCCTCACCTGCTTCCGTGTCCTTGGTTGGACCCTCTCCTCTTGAGGCGTCTGAAGGACAGCACGCCCCTGGGCCCGGTCCTCTACATTCCCTCCATGAGCTCTCTCCCTTAGCTTCAAATGCACTGCCTGGCACCGACCTGGGTGTCCCCCTAACCTCTGACCCCGAATGTGCTTCCTGTCTGCCCCCCTCAAGCAGAATGTCTCCAGGACAACCCCTTTGTCTTGGTCACAGCATCCCCTCCCCCACCCCACCCCCATCTGCCGTGCAGTAGGTGCTCAGAGAGTCTTAGAACAGGTAAAGCGGCCCACGTTGACTCCTTATGGGCATGCCAACTGATGTGCTGCACAGAGACCCTCTGAACCAGGGCCTCCTCCACTAGCCCCTCATACCCCCTCTCGCTTTCACACGCACGCAAAAGCTCACTGCCATCGAGGGACCCGATAGGACAGAGCACAACTACCTCTGCGGGGTTTGAGACTGACTGTGGGTTTACGACAGTGGTTCTCAACCTTCCTCATACCTCGACCCTTTAATACAGTTCATGTATTGGTGACCACCCCCCCAACCATAGAATTATTTTCGTTGCTACTTCATAACTATAATTTTGCTACTGTTATGAATCAGGTGACCCCTGTGAAAGGGTCGTTGGACCCCCAAGGGGTCACGACCCACAGGTTGAGGACCACTGCTTTACCAGACTAGAACCCTCATCTTTCTCCTTTAGAGCAGCTGGTGGTTTTGAACTGCTGGCCTTGTGGATAGCAGCCTAACATGTAACAACTACCCCGCCAGGGCTCCTCGTCCCTTGTCAACCTCCCAGTAAGGCCTGGTAGATCTACTCCCAACCCTCCTCACGACTGCCCCTGTCCCCACCCTCCAGCCAGCCACTGCCTTCTGGACCACAGCCACTCCGCCTCTGGCATTAGCCCCACGTAGGCCAGGTGACCTTGTGAAGCATGATGCCCTCATGATGCCCTCTGCTTATAGCCCACATACAACTTCCCAGGCCACGTAGAATTAAAGCTGCTTTCCTGGGGCTATCGAGGCCCCCCCAGACCTGGCCCTGCCTTGCCCCACACCCCCATAGTCTTGCCCTCATGGCTTCTCTGCCGCTCTCAAATGCGCCTCTATTCCTGCCTCAGTGCCTTTGCACTTGCTGTTCTGCTTGGAACGTCCTTCCCTCAGAACACTGCCACCGCTGCATCCAGCTCCTGCACCGCTCTGATGCTCCCTGTCAGCTCCGCCTCCCCCGTCCTAGATCCCAGCTCACTCACCCACCCACGGGCCCCTCATCTTGCCTTTTCTGTAGCATTTATCAATTCTCGAGACCTGGGCTCAATTCCTGGCCTACTACTACACGTCCACGGCTCACTGGGGGCTTCACAGTGACTGAGATGATGAACAGGTTTCAGTGGAGCATCCAGATTGAGAAAGGCTGCCAAGAAAGGCCTAGTATTTGATGTCCTGAACTCAGCCAGGTGAGCACCCCGTGGGGCCAATGGCTTCATCCTGCATGTATGGGAAGCTGGCAGACCAGCAGCGCTGCGGCCTCTGCTCTATCCCCAGCCTTTCAGTCGAGCAGAAGGCCCACGATGGCCAAGACGCTGTCTGTCTTGGGCTCTGTTACAGCCATGGTAGCCCCAGTGTCACGGAAAACCAAGCTCCCTCCCTGCCAACTCACAACGACCTACAGGACTGGGTAGGACTGCCCCGTAAGTTTCTGAGACTATTTACAGGAGTAGAAAGCCGGTCTTTCTCCAGAGGAGCAGCTGGTGGTTTGGGTTCGGAACTGCTAACCTTTCAGCTCACAGCCCAGTG